TTTCTCTGGTTATATAAGTAAAGGTATTATATGATAAACTTTTTTGTTTAATATTTTTTATTTTTAAATTATATATTTATGTCTCCAAATATACATTATAGTTTGTACATATTAACTTGTTAAAGTTGCATATAACTATGATAATTTTTTTCTTTGATATTTAATATGTTTTAATTTTTTTTTTTTTTAAATTATATATTTATGTCTCCAAATATACATTATAGTTTGTACATATTAACTTGTTAAAGTTGCATATAACTATGATAATTTTTTTCTTTGATATTTAATATGTTTTAATTTTTTTTTACTAATTTTTAATAAAAAAGTATCATATTGATATCGTTTTATACATATGAAAAAGTAACTGAATAAAATTATATAAATATATGAAATTTATAGTAATAATGAAATATCTGAAATTTTTAAATTGAATAAATAGAAAATTGTTTAATAAATAAAATTTAACTTTTTTAAACAATATTTTGTTGAAAGATCTGTTTTTTATGAAGTTGTTTACATTTATTAATTAATATATAATTGCTTAACAACTGACAATCCAATCTTTTTTCTTTTTTTGCTTTAATTTTTAACTTTTTGATAATCTTTTTTATATATAATAAATGAAAAATAAATGAAAAATTTAAATTTTTTGTGAAGAAGGAAAAAAAATATATTTTGATATTTGTATTGAAAAATAAAAGAAATGCCAACGGTTCTTATGGCATGGCTATAACTGGTAAAAGCACCATGTTATTTCCCACGGTATCTCTGTGAATAGTGGGGCAAAAGATTGCCAGGGGCGGATAGTTTGTGGAGAGAGGGGTAGAAGGAGAAATAGTCTCCTGACTCTGTGCATATTCGTCAGAAAAGAGGGGGAAAGAGGACAGCTCGGTGATCGACCTAAAGTTTTACATGATCTGGTACAGCAAGTATCATTCAAATAAGTTTCCTCTCATATTTCTTTTATATATTTAATTGAATATTGCATGTATTTAGCATATATTTTGTAATTTTTGTAAATTTTATTTTATTAATTTATAAATAAATTATAATTTATACAATTTATATTTTAATGAAGTTATATATATAAATATAAAAACGATTTTTTAAAAAAACCATTCCTAAAGAATTGAAAATACCGTATTAATTACTACAAAGGAAATTAGTTACTACAAAGAAAAGCAAATTGTTATTAAATTTAAAAGCATTAAACGCAAAGTATAAGAAATAGTTTAAACTTTATCGAAACAATACGTAATACACTGCCAAGAATGATCAGGTTAATAACAATTAACCTTTCTCGTTATGTTGACTTCTGAATACAGATCATGCTATATAGTTTTTATTAGTTTATTATTATGAATATAAAATAATTATGTTTATTCTTTCTGTCCTTTCTTTATTTATTTAAATTTTTTCTCTTAATCATAACAGTTTCTCGTATGCGATATTTAGAAAACAATTTGCTTTCTAAGTATCAATAATGGAACGTGCCTCATTATATGATACAATATGAGAAAGAAGAGGATAGAGAAAAAGAAGAAAATGAAAAAATTTCCTGAATTTGCCAAATGAGTGAAGGTCTAGTGCACAGAAAATGAAATTGTGACTAGATCCACACTCATTAAGTACGTTCAGGTCTAAACATCACAATTTTATTGGTGATTATGAAAATTCTTCTATATTAAAGTATGAATATGAATTTTAAGAATTTTTCATTAGTAAAAATTGTTTTTTATTCACATATAAATTAAGATAATATAAAACAGATAATTCCATAGGCGAGTATGAATGTGGTGCACGTTTTGATTTATTTCGTGACTAGATACATACTCGTCTACGGTAATCTGTTTTACTCTTAGAATATTGTATATGCGAAATATATATAAATAATATATTTCTAATTTTCAGTAAAAATAATTTGATGAACATATTATTATTCTATATAAAATTTTATTTTTTTTTTTAAGCAAATTAAAAGAGCAAGGAGTCCATCAGCAGAATTAGAGAATGATACAAAATTACGGGCAATAGAACAAATTTTTCCACCATCAATATATACATCAAATTTGTAAGCAAATTATATTATAACTTACATTTTTGTAATTCGATACTGGAATTAGCAAATTTCAATCATTTTTGCAGAAATGTACCTATTCGTTCACCGAGCAGTACAGTTAAAAGTAAAATTCTTTTGTATTTTGGTCCAAATATTCAGAATTGGAAAACTCAAAACGATCACGAAGTATCGATCGTTCAAGCTGATAATCCCCATATACCAAAAGATGCAGTATACATGTATGAAATGCTTTTCAAACAAGGAGTTTTTCTCAGCAATCGTTGTAAAAGTTTTGGTGAGCGTCTATGTTATACTTGGAACGAAATGGGACCCTCGAATTCTAATGTGCGTTATGTGAGAAACATAATGTGTATAAGTCAAACAACATTTAGAACATGGGGTAGAATATTTATAATGGATGATACTTCTACTGGCAGTAAAATTGTTATGTTAGAAGGTTCTAAAACAAATGTTGGTGAAAAAAATGCTCCTGTTATACGTTTGGATCTTAGTGGAGTTAAACATTATTCATTGTTTCCTGGTCAAATAATTGCAGTGGAAGGTTTTAATACAACTGGAGATACTCTAATAGTAAAACAGTTATTTGTTAAGGGATATGCACAATTATTTGATGAACCAAAATTATCAGTAGATATAAAAATTTATATTGCGGTTGGCCCATTTACATCTTCTGACAATTTAAATTATCAACCATTATGGGATCTTATGAATCGCGTTGTAGAAGAAGAACCAAATATATTAATATTAATTGGACCTTTTATAGAATATACACATCCTGAAATTAAAAAGTGTAGCTTGAAAGAGACTTATCAAGATTTTTTTGATGCAATTTTGATGAAGATTCTACAATATTTGCAAGGGTTATTATCGATTAATAACATTTTATTAATATTTAATAAATTATTATTAACAATTTTTTATAATGTAGGAAATCAACACGTATTGTATTAGTATCTTCTAATCGCGATGCGCATCATGATTCAATTTTTCCGACGCCAGAATTTATTATAAATACAAATAAAATTGGATCAAATGCGACGAATCTTTATTCCATGCCAGATCCTTGCATAATAAATATAGATAATTTGCACATAGGAATAACATCAGTTGATATTCTTAGACATCTTGGACAACAAGAAGTATCGTAAGTATAGCAGAACTGTTTAGTAAGATATGAATTTTATCATAACAGAAAGTTCTTTTAGGAATACACCTGGAATGGATAGGCTCGGTCGATTAGCTGATCATATATTGTCTCAAACTACATTCTATCCTTTGTATCCTCCTCTTTCTGGCTTAAATCTTGATACAACACTTTGGACAAAATACGCTTGTTTTGAACGGCAACCACACATATTGATTTTACCTTCCGATGTGAAATATTATTGCAAATTATTAAATGAATCTCTCGTTTTAAATCCAGAGCGATTGCGAAAATATATCTATGCTAAATTATATATACGATCAGTGAATAATAGGAAATGGGATCCAAACAATATATCTTGTGAAATTGCAAAAGTCTAAGCGTTTTTGTTTTTTTGCAAAATAAATGATAAAAAAATAAAAAAATGTAAGTTTATATATTTATTATTTGAAATACAAGGTTATAGAATAATGAAAAAAATTTTTATACAATTTGTATTTTTTCTTATCATAATTTTGCATACATAATACATGTATTGCATATAATTTTTTTAAGTGAATAAATAAAAAAAATTGATTATTAAAATTAGTACTTTTTCATTTTTCCGTTAGAGGTTAGCACTTATCGTATTTAGGATTATAATTCTTGTCTGTATTGTAAACGTATGATGGCGCCACATGAACAACAATCGGAGCCATCGAGTTTTCTGCTTCTAGTGAGTTGTAGAATCGGCCATTGCTCCAATATTTTTCTTGTGATTGAAAATTTTTAATCTCTGATGGAAATACAAAAGTGTATATGAGTACCGAGGTAAGTTATTCAATTACCTGTTACATTTGTCATTCCTTTTGTGATATATTTCTGGAAAAACAGTAAAGATAATTGAATATCAACGATCTGCCAAATTTTGGTCCGCCATCTTTGTTACAAATTCGTTTACATTTTACTATGTGTGTTATATTTTTTATAATTATTTTATTTTGCATTTTAAATTTACATTTAAATCATTAATTTTATATATATTAAAAATTAGAATTCAATAAGTTTTTTTTAATATTTATTTCTGAATTTTCAAATTAACTGCGCGAATTCCACTATTACTGTTATGGCCTTGGTT